ATGACCAAATGGCAAATGACCTCAAATGACCGGGTCATTCAAAGGTCATTCAGAGGTCATTTCAAAATGGCCAAATGACCCGGTCATTTGCCATCACTGCAATGAGGTGGTAATAAAATTTGTTATCGAAAATAATGTAACAATATATTCCAAAAAAAAGTGGCGGTTCATAAAAAAAAACCAATTAATATCCATTGTGGCGTCAATTGCGATTAAAACTAACTTATTCTTGGCCAATATAACAAATAAGTAGAATTATCATGATAAAAGCGAATTTTTTAATAATCAATGTGATTAATGTATTTATAAGATAAGGATTCGTTTAAAAATAGAAATCTCGAATACCCTTTTGTATCACATCGTATCACACCCCTCAAGTTTCTGTTTTTAATATTTTTTCGGGGGACAGTTTTTTTTTTGAGTGGTGAAACCTTATTTGTCACATATATCTATTTGTCACGGTTTGAGTTATGGGGTTAGTTAGGGTTAGTTAGGATAAGGTGTTAGCATATACTGTAATTAAGGGGGGAGGATACTGGTATCCCCCGGTATGTAATAAAAATATTACTTTTAAATATCTTGAATTATTTAACTTTTTATTTAATTTCTAATCTTTTATCTTTTTTTTATTTTCCTATTTATTTAAAGAAAAACGTGTTACTTTTTTTTTTTTTAAAAAAAAAACTCCCCGTCATTAAATTTACTTTTATCTATGCTGAAATACAGACACTTTTGGATAATGCTTATTTATTCAAATAATTAATATAAATAGAATTTTAATGGACAATTTCGAAGATTGGGAAATTTTTTGTAATAGCTAGTCTTATAGATAGATTATTTTTTTTAATTTAATTTATTTTTCTTTCAAGTTACTAGCAATGCCACATCGTAAAAAAAAAATAAATAAATAAAAAGATAGAATTTTTAATTTTAAAAAAAAGCCTAATTACGAATGCAAGATTTTAAAATTCCTTGAATTCGGGAAATTTTGTTAAGCGATGAGATTAAATTTAAAATAATTTATTATTATAATTAACATTCAAAAACCTTACAGAAATCATAAAACAATTGAAAAGTAAATATTCATGTTTAATTTAGTTAAATACAGAAAATCAAATACTTAAATTAATAGCACGATATCTATTGAAATAATTAGAAACCTTAATAATTTAAATTATTCTCTCATTAAAGATATTTTTTAGAACTTTTTATCATTAAAAATTTATATAACAATATAATTATTTTGTATAAGAAATTATTAATTTGTAGTTTTAATTCAATCTGTTACATATTACCTTCTACTTTCATTTTATCAAATTCAAGTAAAGATATTATATAAAACCTTTTTCATTGTAGTTTATAGATATATTATAAGAATAAAAAAATATATATCATAAATATATTATCTTACATTAAATGTCTGAAATGCACATTTTGGATATCCCAAATTAGTCGAGTTTGACGTTTTACTTATTTCTGATCACGTTCACGTATGCGACCCATTTCTGACAAATCTTCGTGTTATTAAAATAAGTATCTTTATACAATAAAATCTGTATTGGGATCGATACATCCAATATAAAAATATAACCATTTCAAATCGTTCATTGTCACCATTCAGCATTATCTTTGCTTTTTAAAATCCAAATATGAGGTCAAATCGATATATAAAAAGTTTATGGTCTGGATAAGTATGTTAAGCTAAACAAGTTAGCAAATTATAAACAAACATGCGAGAATTTGTAATTGAATAAAAATGAAGTAATATTGACGCAAAATTTATTAAATATTATCAATTCGATCAGTGTTACGTCAACGTCGGCGCTCTACACTTTTCGCTATGTCAAAATATTTAAACTAAGTGAATGCTAATCAATAAAATTCTATTAATTAAAACTGCGCAAATACGAAACAATTACATAAAAATTGTATAATAAAAAATACTAATAAAATCGGAATTTAAAAAATAAACAAAGTTACAATAAGAAATCTAAAAAGTTAAAACGGCCAAAGCGAAAATTTCTCGAAGGTGTTAAAGGAAGGATTTCGAGGTGAATGTGTGCAAATTATAATAAAGGCGAGCGTGGGATATCAAGCTGTTTGAGGATTTTCGGCTTGTATATATATTAAAAAAAAAAAAAAATAAAATAAATAAATAGGCCAGCCTGGCGTTCTGTACATTTTGAAAGGACTAACTGCAAATATCAAAAGCGATTCTCATGCGGAATTATGGAAAAATTATCTTCAATGTAACACTATCTTAAGTTCAGTGAGTGCGGAAAATTCACCAGGTAATTCAAATAATTTTCTCTAACGGACGTAATGTAGGTGGTCGTCGACGATGTCAAATTGTCAAAATTAATAAAATACTTTCGACTATGTAAATTAATTCTAATGCCTTTTTAACAAATAAAAATGAAAACATTTGGAATAACCAACTAAATTTTTTAACCATTCATTAGAGACTGCAAATAAATTGAGATTTTATTTTAAAAAATAATAAGGATGTTAAATCATTATTTTATTAAAATTTAACGGTCTTCATACGTATATCGACTAAAATTTCAGAATTCTCATGCACTTCTCTTAATTTTAAATTTAGGACTGATATTACTTCTCGTTATTAATATCACCAAACATTTTTAACGCTTTAATTCTAATAAAATAATCTCCATCAGGAGCAGGCGAACCAGGTCCTGTCATATTATCAAGATTATAATGAATAAGTCCATCCAAATGAACTATAAATACTATTGGTTTTTTTCGATATTTAATCCCCAGTAAAATATTTAACCCATCCTAAAAACTTATTATTGGAATCAAATATTTCGGTAATAAGATATGATGTCGGAGTCGCAAGATTAAGTAACACAAATGGATAATCATGTGTACCATCAGTAATATTTAAAAGTTTTAAGGTGAAAGTTGCAATCGGATCTTCTTTGCTGATAACATTACGAATCAAATTAACAAGCACAGGAAATCGAAGTGTCTGAAATAATGGAAGCGATCTTGCATCATCAGCTAACCTAGCTACATAAAATCATAAAGTTAACGAGTTACCATTAGAATGTCCAAAATAGCAGATATGCAAGGAAAATTGTTTTACCATAAGGAACGGTCATTGTAGGTATGTTCTCATCTACCGGAATTATTTCTAACCATCCATTATAAAACAAATGTAAATCCTTGGGTATTTTCTTTGGTAAAGTAAATGTTACAGAAACCTCAACATTTGATTTAGGCGGCACAGCAATTTGATTATAATCAAATTCAACGCCAGCACATTGTTCTTGTTTTGGAAAATATTCCAAGTTTAAATAATTTCTTACAAAAGTTTTATTATATCCATTAAAACTTGGAGCTGGCAAGTGTGATAATTTATATTCATCTCCTTTCTTTCAACATTATAGATTTTAATGTATGATGCTCATTAAAATGAACTGTATCATTCAAATTAATTTTTGGTGGATAGACAAAGCTGGTTGCTTTCAACAATTTAAAAGCGTCGACGAATCCTGCGCCTTGGATAACTACCGGAGCTAGTAAAATATTGCGATCTTTATAAGGAACAGCATTATTCATGAATGCAACTTTTAGTTGTTCGTAAGATTGTGGTTTTCCAAATACTTCAATATATAATGCTGCTATGCCGGCTATATATGGTGAAGAAAAGCTTGTTTCAGAATCCAATATATAAGGGGGTAAATTTACTAGGAAAGTTGAAAAAATGTTGTCCTGGTGCGGAAATTTCAGGCTATAGAATTTGTTTATAATTTTTTTTTTTTAAAGAAATATAACTGACGATGCGACTTATTTACCTTTGATATCTAACTCCATACTTATCAGAAAAATCTAATTCCAAATTTGTATTTTTTTCGAGATATTGAATTAAAATATCGGCTTGACTTGAATCAATCATTGCATCATTTCTCACGCTCACGTTCGGTAAACCTTCTTCAATAATTTCAGGAAAAATTAAAAATTGCCCGAGTGGCTTAAGGGTTTCGTTATTAAACTAGAAATGAAAAATTATGAAAATAAAGTTGCTTTTTTTAAAAAAAAAAAAAATTAAAAATAAAAACAACGTAAGACATACACGAATCATTATATCGATACATGATAAATTTTCTCTAAAGTCTATGATAATTAGTGTATTAATAAATTCTTTGTAATCATTTGATCGTTTGTTCATTGGAAACAATTTAACATTAGCACTTTGGAACGGAAATTCCAATGCACTTCTTGTAATATAGTCTATATAGGATCAAAAGGCTTTGAAATTAACAACTTTATCAGTTCTGAATGAACCGACACTAATTGTATTTTGAATATCTGATGGCATCAAACTAGTAAATACGCCCAAAATACCATCATTCCTTGCCGCCGATATGAATATTATTCCTTTATATTTAGCCAAATCATTGATCATAATTGCAAGAGAGCCTCTATTGTTACCTTCAGATCCCTTAAATAATTTAATGGTAAGATTTATTTATTTATTTATTATTATTATTATTAAAAATGAAGTTTTACTTACAATAGATAAATTTATGATGTCCATTCCATCATCAACCGCCATGATAATAGCTTTCATTACCATATCTAAAAATTCTTGTCCATGAATGTTGTAAACTTTACCATTGACATCATAATCACTTGGACAATCCAAAGGTAAAACTTTATATGCTCCAAAAATTACATCAGGTGCCACACCTACAAATCCAGGTCCGTCATCTCTTAGATCAATACCTCCAATAATTCCCGTTACAAAAGTGCCGTGTCCAGCACAATCGTACGGGTCGTTATTATCATCAAGAAAATTATACCCAAATTCTACCCTACATCCTGGTCCAAAGCATCCTCCGAGAGCAGGGTGTGTATAATCAATTCCTGATTCATAAATAATAAAATGAAATAAGTGTTAAAAATTTTTCGTAATAATTAAATACGAAATAAATTTATATACCTGAATCAATGATTCCGATCCTGACACCATTTCCTGAAAGTTTTAATATTTCGCGAACCTTCTTAACACCAGTAATTTCATGAATAGCATTCATATCATTATCAAGAGCAATTAAAACCGTTTCATAACGAAAATCCTCGGCTTTATTTTCAAATTTTTTTTATTAAATTCGATTCGTTTATAAAGTTTCTAGAATAATCGAATTTAGTTTACCGCGCCACAGCAATTCAATTCCGACAACGACACTTACCACGGGTTCGACACTTTCAACATGCTCAATTTCGGCAATTCTTTTTACATTACGTTCGTCGGTTTCAATACTAACGACGTTCGTATATCGTTTGAACACGTTTTTAATTTTGACATCGATTCCACGTTTATTTAACTCTTTATAAAAATTAGCATGTTGGATTTCAATATGGTTTGCAGATGAAGTGAAAGGCGAAGTAGTAAATCTAACATAAAATGCATTTTCGCGAATTTTATGTGAAGATTGCTTGATTATCTCGGCAAAAGTCCAATTGAAAAGTAATACAAGGAATGTGAGATGAATAATCACTTACATTTTTATCATTTTCATATTCCTTTTTTTACTAAAAAAAAAAAAAAAAAGAATTTATTCCCGTTTTTTTTATATCATTTTTTTTCGCACTTAAAATAGCTCGTTTATTTTCTTTAAATTATTTTTGATTATTTTTTACTCTTAACAATTTTGGTAAAGACAAAATCTATTTATATTAATGAATACACAAATTTCGTAATACACCCATAAATACATTTTACCCATGTGAATTACTCGTTAATTTTAGGTAATAATTAAAATTTTCCCATTCCTTAAATAGAAACTGCGCCAATCATGTTAACATAATCATTGAGGCAAGTAATAATTTGACAATTACGAAACTGGTAGAAGTCGTTGCCATTTGGAAAAACTTATGCGCGATGAGGCAACGATTGATAATAAAAACTGTAATGGACACAATGGAAATGTGTCCATTGTATATTTATTGCCAACACTGAATTTATTAGATTTGAGAAATTTTTTTTTTTTGTTTGGATCGCAAGGTAAATTTTTTTTTATTAAATTATTATTAATATTATTATTGGATTTCTTCGGGGCACATAGACTGATGATGCTTTTTTAACTTTTGCACTATTTAGGTGGTTCTTTCGAGTTGATTCGCTTGGACAACGAGGTTAGATGGATATGCCTCAGGCCTCCCTAATTTTTAATTTTGTCGCGTTACATTATGAAATTACTTTTTTAAAGCTAAATGTCAAATTTAATCAAAAAAATGAATTTTAAACGTCAAGAACAAAAAAGCAGAAAATGTGAAGGTGTATTTTTATGAAATTATTCAACAATGGATAGTATTTTAGATTTACATAATGCACTTCAATAATTTTTTTTTTAGTTTTTATTTTCAATATAAATTTGATAAATAAATATATATTTTACATTTTTTGGTATTTGTAAAATAAAAGAAAGATTATTGTATATTAAATTTCGCATCGCCAAATAGCATAAAATTATTATGAGTCAAGTTAGAATTGTCATATTATTAAGTCCGGGCCGGGCTTCAAAATTTGGGTACGATTATGAACATTCTCCTTTTTCTACAAGTTCTTCTGATAAACTTAAAAAGTACGGTTATTAACATGATAGTTCTTATGTCTTTATAAAATGCCATCCGGCCCAAAAAGACCGGTGTTATAAGAAATCGGCAAATTACGAATGGCGCAGAAACTGCGGAAATATTAAAAAATATGAAAAATAATTATTTAATTGTTATTTTTAGTTAGTTGTTATTTTTACTTTATTTGTTATATTTATTTTATTTGGAAAAGTTAGTATTTAGAATTTTTATATAAAATCCGCCTTTGATTAAAGAATAGGATTGAGGATGAAATCTTGAAATTTAATAAAATTCTACCTTTACCCTTTCAAAACTTTATCATGTCTCCATATATAATAACCAACTATACGCACAAGAATCGTATTAATAAATAAATCTTTCTTAAACAGGCCTGAGTTAGATTTAAATCCTTTGTTGGTTAATCTGGTTTCGGTTCAAAAAGCGGGGGTTAACATAAGTCTTTTTTTTATTTAAACTGGACCGGTCTATATTCGGTCTATAGACCGGTCCATCGCCGAAAATAATGCTACGCGCATGGTTCGTGAATTCTAGATTTGAGAGAAGCAAACTTTAAGAACACATAATCATCATAACTATGGAATTTCCCTAAAACTAACTTAATCTTTAAGGGCCAGGTATTCAATCTAGCAATGCGGAGCAGATCATCCACTAACGAGTCAGTATATTTTATTCGCATCCATTTAACATCCAATAGTTGGCGCGGCAGTAATAAAAATCAAAAAAAAATTTTAAGAATTTATCTAACCAAAAACCAAACCGGTTTGAATTTAGTTTCTCCATCGTTGCCGCAGTAAAAACAGAGAGGCGAAGTAAATATCCTAGCGGATTTGGTAAAACATCAAGATTTTCTATCAAGTACTGGAGCAGTTAATGACGAAAAAAAAATTCTTATGCGGAGTGCAACTGAAAATATCGCCTAAAAAAGATTATAAAATTTATATTTATCAAGTAGCTAAAAATAAAATACTCTGCTTACACAAATTGATGCCGCAGTAGAAACTTTATATGAAGTAAAATATCCTTACGGAAATGGCCGAATATCAATTATTTTAAATGTATACCAGTACTTTATCATTGTACAACATACACCCTACCAAAACACTCCTAATTTTTTGTATTATCAGACAACTAGAGATGCAATTATTCAGGGACTTCAAACACTTAATTCATTGCACAAAATATCAATAAATTAAAGACATTTTATTTTAAAAATAAAACTTCAAAACTTATTAAATGATGGTCAACAAATAATGTGATGATAATTATTTTTAAATAAAATATGAAAGCAACAAAAAAAATTATTTTATCTAAACAGAACAAAAAATTTTTACGATTCCAATTATCACCATTGGTTATTTTTATTAGTTCCCAACTAGATTAGGTTGGTGTGCGGCGACTTTGTCGCCGCTAGTTATGGTTATTATACTTCATTAGTTGTAATTTATTCTTTATTAAGTTATCGCCGTGACGAGCCGAAGGGTTCATCCGAAGTGCCGCGTCCGCATTCGTCCGAAAGGGCGGAATCGGCCCTAACCTATAAAATCGAAAAGATTATTAATTAACAATAAAATAGACAATATAACATACCTGACTGCGCCTTTGCAATAAGCCAAAGTGGTAAATCTACTGATCTAACCTATAAAATCAAAAATTGAAAAAAAAATAAAAATTATTAATCAATAATTATTAATTAATTAACTTATAATTAAATCAATAATCAACAATAGGAATAGACAATACATAATAGTAGAAAAAAAATTTTCATTATGCACCTGACTGCCGTCGCGGCAGATCCAAATCTTTTTTTTTTTTGTTTAAAAAAATAATAATATTTAAACAACCTTTACCCTTGAGGTAGATTCCTCTACTACCTACCTTTACCTTATCCTCTATCTCCTAGTGTTAGTGTCAGTGTTAGTGGTGTTAGTGTTAGTATTAGGTAAAAATAAGGTATATAAAAATGGCCGATCGTTGGAGTTACACGAATCGTCTAAAAACTAAAAATTTTTTACCGTAACACAGATTCTCCTCCTTTAATACTATAATTATTTCTAGTGCTTTGCCTCACATCACATGCATATAAACAATAAGATATACATGCCTTGACAATATGTATTACATTCTGTTATCGTTATACAAGACAAGTAATTTGATTAAAATAATTTTTTTTTTTTTTTTTAAAAAAAAAAAACTTATTTTTATAAATTATAAAAATGTCTAATAATAATTATAAAGGTAATAGTATAATAAAGAAACT